CACCGAGTCAGCCGGGGATCGTCTCGAGGGCTGGGCTGGGTCTGCGATAGATCGGGCTGGTTGACGGGCGCGATCCGAGCGAGGCGGCAGCTCGCGGAGGCGATGTCTAGGGGTGACGAGGCTCGAGGTCGCAGGATAGCTTCCCTATGTGCGTAAGATCGGAGGGCGGCGGTGCGGGGACATGCGAGGATTGTGAGGGATACCCTGGCGCCATGTCACGCAGACTAGAGACCTCGAACGAGGATTCGTACCTGAGCGCCGGCAGGCCGTCGAACCTGCTGCGCACGAAATTCAGCAGCGCGAAGCTCGAGTCCTTGTACAGGGAGACCTCGCTGCAGCAGCGACGGGGCGGGCTCGAGTGTTTCCTGATCTCGGCGCTGTTCTACGGCGCGTACACGATCGCCTCGCCGGGGCAGAAGCTGGTCGCCTCGAGCATCACCGTCGTGTTCCTCGGGCTGAACCTGGGCCTGCTCGCCTGGGCCAAGCACAACACCCGCGGCAGGTTCTGGTCCCTGGTCACCCACCTCGCCTGGTGCCTGTTCGTCGAGCAGCTGCTCGCTCAGCTGTTCCTCAAGTCCGCCCAGGTCACGCCTAGGGACGGACTCGGCTGGATGCTGATCCTGCTCTACCTCAGCTCCGCGCTGCCCTTCAACCTCTCCCACTGCGTGCGACTCGCGTTCTGCACCGCGCTCGGCTACATCATCGTGATCGTCAAACTCTCCGATGCGCGGGTCCTGATACCCGTCGACGTGCTGGTACGTTTTGCGCAAGTATTCCATTGTTTCGCCTTTTACCGGGATAGCTATTGATTGCTCGCCACTTGATCGATTTCGATGCTGTCGCCTTGCTGGCCGCCGATTCCGAATGTCCCTTATGCAGGTTTTTAGGGAATCGTTCGGTAGCCTGGGGGTCATCGATTTAACGGGTACGGGGAAGGTTAGGGTTATGTTTGAAATGTTTTTTTTATAGGTGATCATTCTAGATGTTCTATAGAAAAAGGAGCTTTGTTCGATTTTATGGATCATGCGGTAACGTGTGGTTGGGTGTTAATGTGTTGAGCAAGCTCTTTGGATGATCCACTTTGGAGATTCTTGGGTTTCGTGGATCTTCTAGGTGACTGTTCTTAAATAGGCGTCGATGATTTACCAGTGGCTGTTTGATAGTTCTCTTTTCGAATGGTGATTGGCAGTTGGGGACTGGATTCGTGTATTAATAGCGGCAGACTATAGACGACGATCCACCGTGATCAACAATCTTCTCCACTTCGATGAGAGAATTTTTCAAAGAAACCGCCTGGCCTAAGTGATCGTGCAAGCAGATAAGTTGCTTAATCTCGAGGCTTTGTCTCCATAGATGCAACCCTGACGCTTCTCGTCGCGGCACTTCTCTACGCCAGGTTGCATTCGAGTCGAAGTAAAATTGAGACTCTTCGAGATGTAATAGGATTCGCTCGATTGAACCGGAAGGAACATCGAAAATTGAGGATCGAATATCACACCTCGTTCCGGGTCAGATGAGGATCAGCAGGGTTTAGGTTCGTGAATACGATGGTCAGGGGATGATGACTGCCTGGAGATGATTCAGTGAGGGAAATCGGTAATATAAAGACATAATTTCCCAGTTCACCGGTAATTAATTAATATTGAGGGGAAACGATGAACTAAAATAAAAGACTCGAGAATTTCGGATCTTATTGATTTTCAAATCATAGAGTTGGTATTTTTTATACAGAATCCTGATATTTCTGATAGTTGAAAATTTTAGTCTGATAGTCTGAATTACTTGAAAATTCATGCAAGACGATCAATGTCGAATGATGTTTAACACTAGGTTTACGGAACGCGTCAAATCGACGCATATTGGATTCTAGAAATATTATTTTGTAAATGTTTACGTCGATTTTGATTGATGCGATCACACTGACATGCACCTCAATTACCTACTATCAAATCTCCGGTTTCCACGATCCAAATAAACGAGCATCGATTCTTTTAGGAATAATAGAATCAAGTGTACAATAAATGCCAGTAAACCTAGTGTTAATAACGTGACCAAGGATAGTAACGCCGAATAGTTAACAATTGTTCCTTTTCTTCGCTACGAAAGAATAACTCTACATCATAAAACAGTAATGATTTTCACGGTGTTGAAATTTCAAGAAAATTGTGTACTTCCCGGCTGAAGCGAACTATTATCCGCCATTGGAATTACATCGGTCCGGAGACCTCAGGAATCCGACTCCACTCGATTGATCGATTAGCCGTTGAATCGGCGTCTCCGTTACCTCCATTGTCGTGCTTTTTAATTCATTTACACCTCCGAGCGGCCTTTATCGCGACAATTACTCCGCAAACAATTCAGATACCGGCGAACAATCGGTACGAGGGTTTCGACGGGAATTTCGAAAAGGACAAGATCGAAAGGGCCGCGGAGGAGAGTAACGCGAACGAAGTGTTATCAACTCGGCCGGGGATAATAAAAAGCGGTCGGCTGTTTCTCGTTTTAATTGCACGGGAACGAACTTTAAATTGCAACTAACCGGCCGACCTTTCGTCGGATAATCATGGTGTGGGACGCGGGATTAACGTTACAGGTTAATTGAAATGTTAAACGGCTTTGAGTTTCGCGGGGACGAATTGTTAATTACCGTTCGGCGCTGCAGCGGAACGCGGACGGATCTGTCGCCCGAATAAAGGCTCTCGTTCGCTTACTAATCGCTGCTAATGAAACTTTGTACAATAAATTTAGTCAGTTCTGCCCGGTAACCGATGATAAAGCAAAAACGAAAGGGATTAACGAACATCCTGAAGCATAAAAGTAAAGATGATAGTAATAAATTACTGCTCCTGCGAAACGTAAATGGATCTGTTACCTGAATAAAGGCTTCCACTCGCTCGCTAATTACTAATGAAACTGTAGAATAAATTTAGTAACGTTTACCCAATAACCGGTGATAAGGTAAAAACGAAAGGGAATAATCAATGAAATAAAAATAAAGATAGAAATAAATTAGTGTTCCATTACCTGAATAAAGGATTCCGTTCGCTAATTGCTAATGAAACTAAAATAAATTTAACTTCCACCCGGTAATAATGAAACAAGACCAGAAGGGAATGCTCGGAAGATAAAGATAATAAAAGATTAAATACAAAAGAAATAAATTAATTTAATAAGAGGTACACCGAATGAGATACTGTCGCGAAACGAGCAACGATTTAATCAAATTCAATCGGACGGAGTGAAATACTTCTGTAACCTAATAAGTAATCGATAGCAATTCCTCGTCGATCGTGTTCGCCGCGGATTGAACAATGAAAGTTAATATTCCCCGGCAAGCATCCGGTCACGAACGAGCAGAAACGGGCTCGCGTATGTTTCTGACATCGCTGCGTGTTCCCGAAGATAGGCGTATCGAATGTCGCCAGCCTAGATACTCACTTTTTCAACGGCGGCGCCCGGTTCGCTGTTTCGCTCGAACTTAATACCGAGAGCAATCGCGGCGCGGTCGCAGCGGCTCGAAATCAGAGGCGAAGCCGGTGATTGCCAGCCGACTCGTGGAAACAAACTGTCGTCACCGTGGAACCGTAATTCGCAGTCGGTCGGTGCTCGACTCGACTCGCGTGTTTCGATCGATCGATACCGAAGGATACGCGGCCGTGTCGTTCTCCTGAATGCGAGGGTGAAATGCTCGATGTATAGCTGGAATTAACCAGTTAACCGTGGAATTTCGTTGGGAGAACCTCCGGCTCTGCGCGCGATGAAATTGAAAAATGGAGCGTGTACTCGTCGAACGCAGGACGAACCGTAGAGTATATTTTAATGAGAGATCGAAGCGAAACAAAGGAGAATTACATGTTTATGTGAAGAAATCAACAATTTTCCCTCGACCGTTTTACCTGTCCTTCACTGCATAATTCAGCTTCGTCCGTCGAAGGTTTCAAATATTTGAAAAAGTTTTTAACCAGTTAACCGTGGAATTTCGTTGGGAGAACCTCTGGTTCTGCGCGCGATGAAATTGAAAAATGGAGCGTGTACTCGTCGAACGCAGGACGAACGCGCGTAGAGTATATTTTAATGAGAGATCGAAGCGAAACAAAGAAGAATTACTTCATGTGAAGAAATAAAGAATTCATCGCTGAAAGAATTAGTATTAATATTAGTATTAGTAAGAATTAGTTAAGCTTTAGTACTAGTAAGAATTAGTCAAGATTTAGGATGACGTGTATACTCGTCAACCAAAGTTAACTGATTAACACTTTGCGGATGAAAATTCTTTGAAATGTGTAAAGTCTTCAACAGATGAAGCTGAATAATATATCAATTTCTTAGATAATAACAATAACAGGAACTACATGCTAATCTCTTGCTATCCGAGTAATTAAATCATTTGCCTGCGACTTAGGTTTCCAAATATGAACGTTTCATCTCGAAATGTCGACATTCGTCCGCAAAGGGTTAAAGGTCGCTTTGGACCCTTAGTAAGGCTAAATGCGGGACACTTAACCCTTTGCCGACGGATATCGATGTTTTCCGAGATCGAACATTCATGATTGTAATACTGAGCTGCAGACAAATGACTTAACTGAAGAGGGATTAATTAAGTAATTCGAAGACTAGGAATAATTCTGTGATATTAAACTTATAGGCGACAACGAGAAGAAATTATAATTATATTCCTTGATTAATATTTCGTAAGGTATAGGCTTGAAGAAGCTGCCCTTTCTATCATCCTCTACGGTCGATTTGACTGTTATTTGTTTCTTTTTTCATTTATGTCGGGCACTTAAAGCGCCACATTTTCGCTTAAAAGCGTCATAAAGCTTTCCAAACACTTTCCCTCGCCCCGAACACCGTCTGATGAACAATCTTTCCAGAGGCGCGCGTGAAATATAACGATCGCGGAATTTGCACGAGCCGTTCGACGTGCAACAAGTTAACGCGTGGCCTGATTAACTTCTTGGTCACGTAATTACTCAGTCAAACTGCGGGAAATCATTTTCATGATCGCGTGGCGTTCTCCGCGGGATTTTCGTAGGAGCGAGACGAATGCTGCGCATTAAATTTCCAACGTCTCTTGAATCTTTCCAAATATGCGTAAGTCATTTGGCTCAGTTTCGAGCAAATGAATGTAAAAATAATTGTAAAGTGTGAGAACATAAAAAGGAAGTAGAAAATAGAAGCAATACAGGAAAACAGAGCACAGAAAGTGCATAAACCTAGGAAACTAAGAAATGGAAAACTTAAAATGCAAAAATGCAGAAGTGCAGAGAAAGTAACAATCAACCAAATAAAAGAAAACAGAACAAACTTCCATATGAATGAAGTTTACAGAACACGCTAGAATTACAAGGAATGCGTAATAACAATAAATCAAAGAGAAGGAAACAAAGAATAAACCTCCATTCGAAAGAAATTCACAAAAATTAGTCAATTTAAATTCGAATGGGATTCACAAAAATGAGTAAATTTAAATTCCCGTGACATTCGCAAAGTCATCGCCGTCCTCTCGCGGGCACAATGATTGATACTACCCAGGGAAGCCTCTAAATACCAGTTTTTATAATCCATTCGCGCGCGCATTTAAATAATTTACAAATTATCCCGAACCGTCGTTGCAATGACGATCGCTTATCAGGCGAGCAAAAAGCACTCCGAGCCAGAGGATTGATGATCGCGTCGGTAGATTATCCGGCCGCCATTTTGTTCCCGGAAGCGCTATTAATTCGCCCGCGTGGTGGGGGATTTTTCAACCCCT